AATTTCTCCTTTAGGCAATCAAAATTGAAATCCAAAAATATTTTGTTGCTTGTTTCGAAATCTTGAGTCAAGATATCAAATGAAAATTCAAAATATTTTTCTGTGGTTTATTCTTTAGATTTTCTTCCTAAAAAAGAGAATCAAAAAATATTTTTCTCTTTTAGGATTTTCCTTAATAGAGTGTTTGTTTCATAAAGAAAAAATCTGTTAAGCTTGAGTTTAGAATATGATTATAGAACATTAAATCTAGAAAATTCAAAAAGAAAAAAAGGGGTTTTGCTTCTCTTATTTCTCTTTCCTCATCGAATTAGTCATTAAGGTAAAAAAAGAAAAAAAAGAAGAAAAAGAGAACATTAGTTTGTTTAGTCTATTCTCGATTTCTCTCAAACTATGCAAAGATCTGATTCATGCGGCGTCGTGATACTTAGGCAACCTACATAGGGTTCGATCGGATCATTTTTTAAAAAAAAAGAAAAAAAAAGAGGAAAAAGAGGATGAAATCATGGGATGTGAGAAATGAGAGGAAAAGAGTGATAATTAGAAGGAAAAAGAGAAAGGAAAATGAGCAAGCAAGTGCTAGAAAAGCAAAGAAAAGAGAAGATTCAAATGGACAAATTGGAATGATGCCAAGTGACCTTATGACCCTCGAAGTCATTCTAGAACCATTAATTGTGGCTAGGTGCATTGCACATAAAGTGAGATTATCTTATGTCAAATGCCCTAACGCTAACGTGATGGCTTCATTTTGTTATATTCATAGCAGAAGCGTGGTTGGTTTGTGGTTTTTAAAGTGGTAACTCTTCTCTACAACATAAGGTCAAAAGGCAATGGCAGACAACAACAGAACTGAGTTGGTTGATACCCGTGCCCGGAAGCAGTTGGTTGAACAGGACACTGGTTTGGCTGATGAGGCAAGGATGTTAAGACAACACATGACGGACATGTATCAGACTTGGATGATTGGGAAGGCACCACCCCCGCCACCACCTAGCTTCTTAGATGCTACCATTACCCAAACTTTGGCACTTCCCAACCACCCTAGTATCTCACTCTTCCTCCAGTTACCTCTCCCCAAAATTGCCCGCCTGTCATATCCACTATTTCCAACAATGAATACCCACTCAAAGCTCATGATGCCCAATATTACCCCTCAAAGGTTGCCCACAAGGTTTCTAACTCATACAAGAAGAGCCCTCGGGATGAGCTTCATGCTGAAAATGAAAAGGTCATAGGAAAAGAAGGGCGAGATGAGATATCAGGGAAACTGAAAAGCATAGAACAGTCTTTAAAGAACATTCAAGGGATGGGAGACCAGGTTAGCATGTCTTACAAAGAGTTGTGTACGTTCCCTGGCGTTCGCTTGCCTGCGGGGTTTAAAGTGCCAAAGTTTAACTTGTATGATGGGAGTGGAGATCCGGTAGCCCATCTGAGGGGTTATTGCAGTAAAATGAGAAGTGTTGGTGAGAAAGATGATTTGTTGATGGCATATTTCAGTAAGAGCTTGACTGGGGCAGCTTTGGAATGGCATAATCGTCAAGATGTTGGTAAGTGGCATACATTAGGCGACGTGGCTCAAGATTTTGTGCGGCGTTTTCAGTACAATATAGACATTGTCCCAGATCGCTCCTCCCCATCTCAGATAGAGGAGAAACCCAAGGAAAGTTTTAGGGATTTTTGGCTCAAATGGAACGAACAAGTTGCTCGGGATAGTCCTCCCTTTGATAGAAAAGTTGTTGATGAGCCTCGCCGATGACAGGGTCCAGTGGTCGTTACTACTAAACGCTTTCAACCTCAATACTGACCCCGTGAACATCCCCAAACTCCACATAATACACCCCAATATTATCTGCCGAACAACATCCGGTCATCTGTCCAACCACTAGGTCACTCCCTAGGGCGAGCGCCAGCATCCCAAAATTCTCATGTGCCTTCACAGCATTTTCAAGCATCCAACAATCCTAGAAAACTGAGGTATGGAGGTAAACAAAGGCAAAAAGATAATTACACGCCCATCGGAGAATCCTACAAAAGATTGTTTGAAAAGCTAAAGCATTCTGGCCTAGTTGAGCCGCTCCTCGGCTATACTCCAGACCCATATGAAAAAGGCTTTGATCCTGTTGTATGATGAAAGTACCACTCTAATGTCCAAGGTCATAGCATTGAAGATTGTTGCTCTTTAAAAAGGGAAATAGAAAGGATAATTCAAGAAGGGGTAATTGTGATTAATGACAGTGACAGGGAGCATGTGAATCCTCTTGGGAACGTGTTGACTAAAGTTAATAATATTGAAGTTGGCAATGGTCTTGGCAATATTGATGCAGAACTCAGTGGCTAAGATGTCGAGCTTGGTAATTGGAAAGACGCTCCTTTCTTGGCTAGCCGGCAAGGAGTCTTGGTGGTTTATTTTGTTGTCATTTCTGTTGTCCGGGTTATTTCAGGGTTGTAAGCCGGATATTGTCTTGTGGCTCAAACCTTTCTATCCTTTTATTTTGCCTACTTTTTTTGGTCGTAGTAGCTCGTTTAGTGTTGTCTGGGTTTGCAACCCAATGGGACTAGACTAGGATTCACATTGAATCCAAACCAGTAAAATTCCGGTGTCTTTAATTCCTGCATTTAATTTCCGCAACTTAAATTCTGTCCTTACTATTATCAAGTTATTATATCTATTCTACTAATTAGATAACTAGTCAACTGATTGCGATTAATTTTAAAAATAAACAATTCACCCCCCTCTTGTACTTTCAGAAATTCTCAACCAAAAGCTTCAACTCTTCAAGACCAAAGTGTATTTGCAAGAACCCTAGCTCTAAAACTTGTGTTCCTCTCTCAAAATAGGTCAAAGACTGTCCAAATATGTCCAAATATAAGCTAGGTTGTGTATTAAATGGTTTTGGGGTAAAAACGTGAAATGCCAAAAGTGCCCAGATTTCTGCCCAGATGTGTGAATCGCGATCGCGAAGAGTAAAGATGTAAAGCACTGCAATCGCAGACAAGATCCACGCATTCACGTAGAGCAATTGGGAATAGTTGACGAGCCTCTTCTTCGCGTTCGGAGAAATATCTCTGTGTTTGCGATGTGTTGTTTGCCAGCCTTTTGCGATGCGAAGAGCATTAACTGGAAGCAGTCATTTTTCTTCAATTTTGCACATTTTGACTTGGTTTCTTCTGTATTTCCTCAAAATCACTTGATACCTGAAATATGCCACTAAACCTAAATAAAAGCCTTAGTTTCTCAACAAAATCATAAAAAAGCCTATGTATCAAGAAGAGATAAATTGGTAAAATACCAACTTATCAAACCCCCAAACTTAAACTATTTCTTATCCTCAAACAATTCAAAAACTAAGAAATAAAATCATCAATTAAGCTCAATGTTATACCAAATATCATTTCAAGTCAAAAGGGTCAAATTAAACACAATCTAGTGACTTTGGTTGGTACCAACAATTAATCTAAAGCATATGAATCACCAACTTCTCACAAATTTCATTTCAATTCTAGTGTTCAAACACCACATTAATCAAAGTGGCAACTAAGTCATGACACTAAAGCATCAAAATTTGCCCCATTATCACAAACAATTTTCTTTCGTTCATTCCTCCCAATTGGAGATTGGATTAGGTTTACAACTCAAACTTTTCATGTGTCCTCACACTTAAGAGAGAATCCCAACTTATAAATTACAATTTAAACACACATGTGATATCAAATGGAAAGAATTAACTCTCACTCTCACAAAGATATTCAAATGCACAAAAGTAGTGCCATAGGTAATTCGCCGCCTATTCAAGAACATTCGGTTGGAGATCCCATAAGGACTTTTTGATCTTGTAATGTAGGTTTAGGGAAGGGTTGGACAAGCATTTGGGATACAAGTAACTACACCCTCCTTGAACACTATTCACATTTATCTTTCCTTTTGCACTTTGCTTTTTTTTTTAAACCATGTAGCCCTTATTGGCATCTAGTTACCGACATAGAACCACCTTAAAGTGCCTATCTAATTTTCTCAAGACTCCATGTTTATATATATACATATTTTTCTATCTCTGTTTTTTTTTCATATAGCTATTTTCTTTTGGAGCTTGAGTAGTTTCATATGAACACTTTGAGGTATATGTTTCTACACTCAATGTACAATCTTACCAATTTCCAACTTGACACCAACACCCCCAACTTAGGCTTTTAGCCTCATTCTCAATATTCAAGGAGGGACGAGTTCAAAAGAGAAAATTATTTCACAAAAAGGTAAAGGTTTGTAATGAGGTATCCAAAGAAAAGGTTAAAGGCTCAAATAGGGTAAACTAGTGATGATATTTATGCAATGGTAGGATTGAAAAGCTAAACATGCTTTTTAAAAGATCACAAAGAATGCCTAAGGTCATCCCTCCAACCAAACATAATTAACATTAGCATTGAAAGACTAACCGGGTAAGTTCTAGACTACATATAATGCAAAAGAATTTACAACAAATCTCACCACACATAGCACATGCAAACTCGAGTGACATATAAATCCAAAATCAACCAATGAACCCAAATAAAATCATATATAGCCTAAAGGGCTATTTAATGAATCAAAGAGCCAAAAATAGAACCTATAAGTCACAACAAGGATGATCACTTCAATCATTTTTCATTTTAAAAATCAAAACTACATATGCCAAAGTTTAAATTATGTGGGTACCAAACAAGTCACACGTTGGTTTTTGGACAAAAGATTACACCCAATAACCAATTTATTCACTACTAGCTACTAAACTAACTAAAAAAATGTTTACTCCAAAAAAAGAAAAACTAAATAAGACTAATCCCTTAAGAAAGTTGTCACGCCATCCATCATAAGGAGAAGTCACCCCCAAAAAAAAAACTAAACAAGACTAATCCCTTAAGAAAGTTGTCACACCATCTATCACAGGGAAAAGTCACCCGGTTCGACACAAATTAGTTCCTTGGAAAAGAACCGCGACATGAAGAAAAACTAAGGTGTTTCATTAATGCTATTATGAAAATAAAATAAAAACTTATAAGAAAATGCTAAAGCTAACATGCTAGAATTACACTACAAACTATTACTAAAAAACTATGTTTGTCAACTAATCTACACAAGTTATCACAAAAAATAATCATGTTCTACATCATCACATGTAAAAGAGTCACCCCAACCTAAACTGTTGTACTATCCTCAATGCAACTAAACAAAACAAGCTAAAATGAAAGAGGTGCTCCTTGAACGACATCACTCCGAGCTGGAGTTACTGGGAACTGAGAGCTCCAAGTCATCCTCGTCACTATCCTCTGATCCACAAAACTTCCTCAAGGTGTTATCATCTTTGTCAAGAATTTGCTTTTCTTATTTTCATGTTCTCTTTGCTTCATCTGCCTTTGCTCAATCTTACCCAATTTGGCTTTAATGGCTTGCTGCTCCTTAGCAAGATCTGACAAAGTTGGAACCTTTCCTTGGCCAACTGGACCTGTAGATGTGCCCTCTCCAGATGGTCTAGAAGGGAGACCAGCTACAAACTGGCGGACCTGTGTCTCCATGCCATAAACCTGGCAAGAGATATACCTGAGTGTGAGAGGTCCCTGATCAAGTAGTATAATGGCAGTACAAGGCCCTGTGGCAGAATCGGGTATCTCAATGATGGTGTCAGGACACTGGCCAAATGAGGGAGATGCTGCATCAATCTTTCTTTTCTTCTGTGCATTCCCTGCTCCCTTTCTAAACAGTGGGTGGATGAGCTTCTCTGGGTTCTTTTCCTTCTTTGTAAGCCTCTTCTCCACCTCGGCCTCATAACATAAGTGAGTGATCAAGTATAGGAAGAATAAACTCTTAGTCCTCTCTACAACAACCTCTTTTATCTCATCAACAATAAGTTGTCCCACATTTACCGGTATGCCCTTTATGATTGTGCAAATCACCCTTGCCTTCTCTAGTGTCACCCCGGTCTCATTTCGTGAAGGCATGACTCGAGCACAGATAATGGAGAGCCAAGTTTTGGCCTCGGTAGTGAATTAAAAAGACTCGATCCTTGAGTGATTTCTTATCCAGTTCGGCATCTTTCTACCATGAAAATGGTCTGCAAACAACTGTGTGCCCAAGTCTTTAGATCTATCCCTGTACACCTGGTTGTTAGCATCGAGAAGATTGTAATATGTATTTATCAGCTCTAGATCAAATTGGACTTATTTACTCCTGAGAGTAACAACCAAATCATGCTTGAAGTCAATCTTTACAGCATTTGCATAAAATTCTCTTATCACTGTCACACCTCCTTTTTACCTACACCCTAGAAGGGTATAAGGAAGTTTTTTCCAATTTAAGTGACAATCAAAATGGGATTAATTATTTATTTAAATTCAGAGTCACCACTTGGGATAATTTATGTGTCCCAAGTCACCGGTTCAAATCCCGAATAGAGGAAAGATTGACTCTGTTCTACAGTTCTCGAACACAGAAATCTGAGTAAGAAATTCTGTTAACCCGGGAGAAGGTGTTAGGCATTCTCGGATTTCGTGGTTTTAGCATGGTCGCTCAACTGTTATTATTGGCCTAATTATCTGATTTTAAAACACTATTAAACCTATGTGCATTGTTTAACTTTTTAGCCGCTTTTAATATTTCAGAAAAATTCAAGGTTATTTAAAACATATCGCAAGCCACACCACATGAAATGCACCCGTGATTCACAACATGTCCTATTTAACCTTGTTGGAAATTAGAATTGGGTCACATGAAATATACACCCGGATTTATAACATCTTTATCTTATTATTATCACTATTCAAAATTATAGCGGCTAGCAAATTTCTGATTTTTGATCTCATATTTAATCAATAAGAGATACACACACAATGAAACATAAGGTATTCAGAGAAAACAAAACACAAAATAAATAAATAAATAAGAAACGATGAGAATAACAAGGCAAATAAAAGCAACCTGAAGATAATATTGTCCCTTCAAAACTAACAGTACCTAATTTAGACAAGAAAATGACCAAATATTAACTTGCATTGGAAGAGAAACCCATCACTATAATTGAGCACAAATATTATGGACATTGCAAAATATTTTAAGCACTAATTCATATGGCAATTTGACCTCAAACTAATTTAAAATTTAAACTATAGAAATGCTTTCCCATTAAACCGTCAAGCTCAAACATAACACAAAACATTCAATTTCAACTAAAATCGACAACCAACACTTTGTGTATTAAGAGATTCTAAGACCAACTTGAAAGACTCAATGACTCAAACAAATGTAAAAAATCAATGTCATGCTTAAAACCATCTCACAGGCAATCAAATAGGAGGAAAGAGACGGACCTCCAAACGTTAGAACCCCGTACGGAATTCAACCGGAAACCAACCAAATGTCACATCAACGCACAACTAAAACAAAGCCTCCCTAGACAAAGACCATCGACGACCCTAAAGCTTGACGGAAAGCTCAAACATGAAAAAGAAAGATAGACTTAAACGGCTGGTTTCTGAGCATTGAAGACGCGAAATCTAGAATTGATTCATATTGGGGTTTCATGGTTCTATTTTTTGACTGAATATCATCACTGCTATTTTCTCTCGATTTGTTCTTTTTCCTTTTATCTTTTGTTTGAGTGGTTGCTTTCCGGACTGTTTCACGGAGGATTAAAGCAGGTTTCGTGGCTGTTGTAACTGTGATGGATGAAGAAGAAAGAGCAGTGGCGATGGAGGTAGATGTGTTTTCTGGCAAGTTCGCCACTGACCGGTGAGAAGAAGAGTTGAAGAAGACGATTAGGGGGGGTCGTTTGTGTTTGATTGTAGAACGACGGAGGGCTTCTATTGAAGGATATAGAAACGATGGGGGGATTCCTTTCGTGTTCAGCGGCGCTTCTCCCCAGACTTTAGAGTCTAGGTCTATTTTATTTGTGTATTTTCAGCTTATTGCTCTTAGGTCCTTAGGGTATTTTTATTTGTTTTTTGTTCCAAAGAAGAGTCTAGAAGGGTCCCTAGGGTTAGCTTAATGGGTATTGGGTATTGAGTTTAAGGAATGGGCTAGAAACTTGGGCCTTTATGGCTAGCTATGCTTAAAATTAACTTAATTAACTAAATATTTATCCACATAGAAATATTATCAAAAATATTAATAATCTACTTAAGTACAAATAATTATTAAAATAAGAATGACCATTAAAACAAAACTATTTTTTGGTAATTTTTTCAAGATTAAAAAATGACTACAAAACATTAATGAGCCTATTTTTTGTAATTTTCGTTTTCTTGTAATAAAATAAAAGTAAAAGAATAAAAATGAGTTGAAATAGCTATATTAGGCCTAAATTAAATATTTACGTGCTAAAATATGAAAAATCTTGGGGAGGGTCAAAAATCACATGTCTATAGTTGCCCCTCTTTGACTGGAAAGATGAAGTATTTTCAGACAAAGAACGACTAGATAGGTTTTTTGACCCGACCCTTATTTGGAGAGACTAAAACTAAGAGAGAGGGGAATGTGACCGAGCCCTAGTATCTGAGCTGCCTACATATACTTGGCTATAAAGGAATCAGGCCACGTGTAGTTCAGAGGTGAGTGAGATGACGGAGTATGCCGAGGTGGAGAGTCGGTCGAGGTGCCGTTCCGCTAAGGTTCCGGTCTGTGGTCCTGATGTTACATCAAAAATCAAAACATGAAAAAGACTAGCTAAGCCTATCAACTACGAGTTAAAAGATTCCTATCTATAAGTCTTCTGAAGCTTGATCTTGAGTCTTGAATGGTTCTTCATGCAGACTTTGGATTTGAACCTTGACGTTTGCTAGTTACAGGTGCTAGCTTGTTCTTCTTCAGCTTTTCATATCAAAACCGGGCATGCAGTACTTGTGACCTCGGCCGTGTCTTGAGAAGCTCACATCTTTCAACAACTTCTGCATTTGGATTAACTTCTTGCCATTCTCTCTTTTTCCTTATTGTGACTAACTTCTGTTGATCACCTCGGACTGTTGACTCGCATTCTTGCCACGAGCTTCTTTTGTTGCTGACTTGAATTGTAATCTGAGATGCTTTCCCTTATTCTCCAGGTGGACGCCTGACCGCTGAACTTAACTGTATTCCCTTTCTCTCCAGGTAGGCGTCTGATTGCTAAAACTTTAACTGTATTCCCTTACTTTCCAGGTGGGCGCCTGATCGCCGAAACTTGAACTGTATTCCCTTGCTCTCCAGGTGGGCGCCTGATTACCAAACTTGAACTATATTTCCGTGCTCTCCAGGTGGGCGCCTGANAAAAACTTAAACTGTATTCCCGTGCTCTCTAGGTGGTGCCTGATTGCCGAACTTGAACTGTATTCCCGTTCTCTCTAGGTGTGCGCCTGATTGCCAAAACTTTTATTGTATTCCCGTGCTTTCCAGGTGGGCGCCTGGTTGCCAAAACTTGAACTGTATTCCCTTGCTCTCCAGGTGGGCGCCTGATTGCCAAAACTTGAACTGTATTCCCTTATTTTCCAGGTGGGCGCCTGATTGCCAAAAACTTGAACTGTATTCCCTTGTTCTCCAGGTGGGCGCCTGATTGCCAAAAACTTGGACTATATTCCCTTGTTCTCCAGGTGGGTGCCTGATTGCCAAAACTTGAATTGTATTCCCTTGTTCTCCAGGTGGGTGCCTGATTGCCAAAACTCGAACCGTATTCCCTTGTTCTCCAGGTGGGCGCCTGATTACCAAAACTCGAATTGTACTCCCTTGTTCTCCAGGTGGGCGCCTGATTACCAAAACTCGAATTGTATTCCCTTGTTATCCAGGTGGGCGCCTGATTACCAAAACTTGAACTGTATTCCATTGTTCTCCAGGTGGGTGCCCGATTACCAAAACCTTGAGTTGTATTCCCTTGTTCTCCAGGTGGGCGCCTGATTACCAAAACCTTGAGTTGTATTCCCTTGTTCTCCAGGTGGGCGCCTGATTACCAAAACTTGAATTATATTCTCTTGTTCTCTAGGTGGGTGCCTGATTACCAAAAACTTGAGTTGTATTCCCTTGTTCTCCAGGTGGGCGTCTGATTACCAAAAACTCGAATTGTATTCCATTATTCTCTAGGTGGGCGCCTGATTACCAAAACTTGGATTTTATTCCCTTTTTCTCCAGGTGGGTGACTGATTACCAAAAACTCGAATTATATTTCCTTGTTCTCCAGGTGGGTGCCTGATTTCAACGAAATAGACAAAACAAAGAAAAGTTTCTGCCCCAGTTTGGTAGCTAGGCACATATGTGAGTGTTAACTAAATCATGTTATCAAATATTCTAAGAATTTGAAAGGTATATCCCATTATCCAGGAGGGTCCTGAAAACTCCTAGTTATATGATGGTTTTAAATCCAAATTATATCTTCTAAAGGTATGACTTCCGCTAAATCTTGTTATCTAATGGAAATTTTAGAGCCAAGTCCCATTATTCAAGAGTGTCCTGAAAACTCCTAATTGAATCCTATCTCATGCATGCAAACTCTGAAGCCAACTTATATTCCTTTGGGTTACATTTGTGCTAGATTTTGCTACTCATGATTGTTTTGAATTTTAAACTAGGTTTCATTTTCCAGGAGGGTCCTGAGAATTTATGGTCAAACCTGTCTGGTGCTTGCCTTTCCTAGTGGAGGGTTTCTCTGAAACAAACGAAATTTTCTGCCCTTGTTTCAATCAAAGAAAGCTTTGTGAATTTAAACATGGTGGTTGGTTTGTGGCCTTGAACTCTGAGGGCGATTGCTCCTTCATTTCCCATGATAACTTTGATTTCCACTCGAAGACTTTGCTTGTTTATTGACTAACCACTTTCTCTGTCACCCTTATCACAAAAAAATACCTCTTCTCCATTCAGACCCAATACCCTCCATCTGTTGCATTGTTCATGAACTGACATTTACCAAACCTTTGTGTATCACATGAATCTCAAAGCACGAAAATTGCCACCCACTCCTTGCGTATGCTGTTCTTTCTTAACTTAAACCACTGGTCCTGGCCTTGAGGTCTATTGCTCCCTTATTTGCCATGATAACTTTGATTTCTGCTTGGAAGACCTTGCTTGTCACTGGTTAACCACCCTTTTGTCAATCTTACCACAAAAAATACCTTTAATCCATTCACCTAACACCCTCCATCTATTGCATTGTTCATGAATTGATATATACCAAACCTTTGTATTTCACATGGATCCCAAAGCATGTTGACTGTTACCAACTCAGTGCGCTTGTTGTTCTTTCCTGACTTATGACACTTTGATGTGCTAGCTAGATCCTGTTTTGTGCAGTTGGAAAGCTGGTGTCAAATTTTGAAGTCATTTCTCACTTGTTTTGACCAAACAGGCTCAGGAAGAGGAAGTAAACAAGACAAAAGGAATAAAGTAAAGGATAATGGAAAGAGGTGATTCTTAACAAGAAAACTACAAAGTAGAAACCTATCATATGTGGATACCAACTCTAATCACCATGACACACACCTGTGGCCTATTCTGTTAAGCAAGCCTGATGTTCAACTCTTGTTACACCCCTAAACCGTGAAACTGGGCTTCAATGCTCCGATTATCTAATCTGATTCGCGATCCTTATTCGACTTGTAGTGCCCAAAGGGTTTTCACCATCAAGCCTCTCTCATTTTGTTCTTTCTCTCAAGTCACCGTCGCCTTAAAGTGCCCGTGAAAATTTTCACCAATAGGACTCTCTCATTTTTGATTTCTCTCAGCTTTCATTGCCTTACGGTGTCCGTGAGGGTTTTCATCAATAAGACTCTCTCATTTTTCATTTTCCTTGTTTGGACTGGAGTGTTGCCCCTAATATGATTCACCTCTACTTGCTTGCCTTGGCATCTCTCGAAGATTGATCGAAAGGTCTTTCTCTGGACCGTAATGTGGGGTTTTGGATGGGGTTAGAAAGAAAGGGTATCAAAAGGCTCAATAAAACTCAATTGGGTTCGAAATTGCAACTTTTGGAATCAGATTTCTTACAACAACCACAACTTCAGCCCCAATTTCTTTGCTTGGGGACTTTTGAATTTTTATTTGATGGTACCGAACCGTGAGGCTGCCTATGTATCCTTAAAAGAAATCAGGTCGAACATAGTTCATGACATAGAAATTACTTTGTTGTTGTAATTTTTCATTTCCTTTCTTTTCTCTTCTTTTCTTTTTTTTCTATTTTTGTTGTTTTTCTTTCATGTTTTTTTTTCTTTTCTTCTATCTTTTCATTCTTCTTTTTTCCCTTTTTTCTCTCTTTTCTCTCTTTCCCTTTACTTATCTTTTGCTCTTGCGTTTCTGAACTTTGCTACTGATTCCAAAAGATGGGTATGAAAGAAAATAAATAAGGCTCAAAGGGGTAACAAATGATAAAGCGTTTAGATAGCAGAATAAAATGCCTTCATCATTCCAATCTTCAAAGCGTGCCAGATGCAAACAATACAATTAAACAAACCAAAGAAATAACACATAATATCTTTTGACTGCATCAGAATTGATAACCATATCCACACATTTGCCTTCTATATCTGTTAAATACAAAGCACCATTGGACAACATTCTCACTCTCATTACCACGAACGTCCCCTGTCAATTTGGGCAAACTTGCCTTTAACTTCAACCCGATGCGGCATGATGCATTTCGAAATGGTTTCTTTATGTTCTATCTACCCCAGTTTCACACAATTCGGTCTTGAAGTGATCACAAAATGCCTTTACTTATTTCCGTCAAATGTCCCTATCATCTTCAAAATTGTTTTATTGCTTCATGACTAAACTGAGTTTTAAAGACCAGGCTGAGAATTACGCGTGCATGTCATGTCACTAGAGTCAATAGGAAAAGAACTATAAAAAGAAAAGAGAACTAAACAAAATGACTAGAAATTACAGAAAATAGAAAATTGC